TTACCGGCAAAAAAAGCCTTATTATACATGGTCGTTTTTTTTCGGCAAAAAAAGCCTTACTATACATGGTCATTTTTACCGGCAAAAAACACCTTACTATAGATGGTTATTTTTTTGGGCAAAAAAAGCCTGACTATACATGGTCGGTCTTCTCGGCAAAAAACGCCTTACTATACATGGCCGTTTTTTTTCGGAAAAAAAACGCCTTACTATACATGGTGTGTTTTTTCGGCAAAAAACGCCTTACTATAAATTGCCATTTTTTTCGGCAAAAAAAGCCTTACTATACATGGTCGTTTTTTTTTTCGGCAAAAAACGCCTTACTATACATGGTCGTTTTTTTTTCGGCAAAAAACGCCTTACTATACATGGTCGTTTTTTTTTCGGCAAAAAACGCCTTACTATACATGGTCGTTTTTTTTTCGGCAAAAAACGCCTTACTATACATGGTCGTTTTTTTTTCGGCAAAAAACGCCTTACTATACATGGTCGTTTTTTTTTCGGCAAAAAACGCCTTACTATACATGGTCGTTTTTTTTTCGGCAAAAAACGCCTTACTATACATGGTCGTTTTTTTTTCGGCAAAAAACGCCTTACTATACATGGTCGTTTTTTTTTCGGCAAAAAACGCCTTACTATACATGGTCGTTTTTTTTTCGGCAAAAAACGCCTTACTATACATGGTCGTTTTTTTTTCGGCAAAAAACGCCTTACTATACATGGTCGTTTTTTTTTCGGCAAAAAACGCCTTACTATACATGGTCGTTTTTTTTTCGGCAAAAAACGCCTTACTATACATGGTCGTTTTTTTTTCGGCAAAAAACGCCTTACTATACATGGTCGTTTTTTTTTCGGCAAAAAACGCCTTACTATACATGCCGTTTTTTTCGGCAAAAAATGTCTTACTGTACATGGTCGTTTTTTTCGGCAAAAAACGCCTTACTATATACATAGTCGTTTTTTTCGGCAAAAAACGCCCTACTATACATGGTCATTTTTTGAGGGCAAAAATCACCTTATTATACATGGCCGTTTGTTTCGGCAAAACACGCCTTACTGTACATGGTCGTTCTTCTCGGCAAAAAATGCCTCACTATACATGGCCGCTTTTTTCGGCAAAAAAAAACCTTACTATACATGGCCGTTTGTTTCGGCAAAAAACGCCTTACTATACATCGTCGTTCTTCTCGGCAAAAAATGCCTTACTATACATGGCCGTTTTTTTTCGGCAAAAAAAGTCTTACTATACATGGCCGTTTTTTTTTTTCGGCAAAAAAAAACCTTACTATACATGGCCGTTTGTTTCGGCAAAAAACGCCTTACTTATACCTGGTCGCTTTTTTCGGTGAAGAACGCCTTACTTTTTAGTGCATCAAATTCCGATGAATTTTATCAGGTTTTATTTTCACTGCATCACTTATAATCATTGCCCGCATTGCAATAAAATAAAAAAAAAAACAGACTTTTCATTTTGTGTTTAAAAACTGAATTTCTGATACAGTTCATGGCTTGTGATGTCATGGTGCATATTTGCAGTTTAAGTGTTGCTTGCTGTGAGTGGAAAGCCGATAAGAAAGGCAGAACTCAAACAGCATGTGTATGCCCCTGCAGTCCAGTAAAAAACACACACGATCACACATCAAGTCAAAGTATGGTGTGGTGACATCAGCGGTTGCCACGACAACAGGGTGGGGGGGGGGGTCATGACAACATCCAACATGCAAGAAGATGAGGGGAGGGAAGAATCCGGATTAGAGCTGTGCAGTTCATTTAAAAAAACGACATTAATAAGGTTCTACCTCCTGGAGATTAACACGCATGGTGAAATGAACTCCGCGCACTTCTGCTTCATACTTTACCGGATGTGACGTACTCCATCATGAGGATTATCAGTTGAACAAAGATTGCCCTTGGTGTGAAGAGTTTCCATGAAATCACCTCGCCATGGAAGACGGTTCCACATGTCGGAATGTGTACGCGCGCGCTCGCACGCACGCACGCAAGCACACACGCTTCTCAAGAGCAAGCAAACACGGAGACCAGCAGATGGACACAGTCACTTCGCACCGGAGACCGGTGCCAGGATTGAACAAAAAAAATATCAAACTTTGCCAGTGCCCTCAGTGAATTGTACATGAAGCAAGCTGAATGAGAATAATAATAACAATAAAAGATATCGCACAACTGCTCTGATCGCAAGATGCAATTGCATACTGATGATCGCTAACGACTTCCGGTGATGCAGGCCACCGTATGTTCAGGGTGACCGACCTGCTTTTTTATTTTAGTTTTTAAATGCTTTTTGTGAAAGTGAGACTGATCGGATACTAAGTGTGCAGTGTGTACTAACACAAAAACTATACCATATTAATAACAAGGACACAGACACACAAATGTTTTGGATTGTTTTTTTTCTTCTGCACGCCTCGCGATAGATTTGGGACCAGTCCGACGTATTGGACACCCCTGATCATAAACAAAGAAACTTCAAATCTATGATTGTATGATGCTGCCACCTGGTGACCACGTTGCACACACAAGAAGGTGCTGCAGTGAATTAATCATGATCCAAAATATATTCCGATTTATTTAATTATATTGTATTTAATATCATTTGTTTCTCTGACGAGACCTTCAATCAAAGTCAACCAATCATGTTTTCTCTTTAGAATTTTTTTTCTTATAGTAATTTTTGAAACCTATTTTTATTTCTTTATTTCAAATTGTATTTTTATATTTTCTGTTGATGTGTTTAAATGTTATTTTAGGAATTTTGGAAAGCGACTTTGGTTTTCACTGCATTGCCTCTGAACATCGTAAACGGTTGTTTCTAAATGCTTTTGGATGTTATATATTTGCTTTTGTGAAGCGCATTGAGTTGCCTTGTGTATGAAATGTGCAATATAAATAAAGCTGCCTGGACTTGCATTATTTAAAAAAAACACACACTACAAAACATTTTATTGATGTTTTTGAGGTTCACTGAAACAGTCTGACATCACTGCCATTCGTTTCCAATGGGAAAAGGTGATTTGAGAGCAGAGAGTGACAAATTCAGCCGGCATCTTAAAATACAATCATAAATTATACTACCCAACACCTTAAAATTCCCTCTTTTTTATATAATCAGTGATTTTTCCTTTTTTTAGGGGAGTAGGGGTTGGTAGTGTGTCAAAAGATAATTTATCTCATCCACTGCACTCAGTATCCCATTCCAGGTCACTGAAAGCAAAATGTGAGGAGCCTTCTTCGCCATTTTTCCTTGACTGATGCTCATCATTTTCCACCGAGTGAGCATCCGCGTTAATGTTTAGTTTGTGTGTGTTTGGGCGGGGGTTGGGGATGGGTTTCGCTCGACTAGTTCTCCTGGAAAGAATTGCCACAGTCCTGGGAGGCAGCTTCATTGACGTCAGGACCTCTCACGACTGTCTGCTGCCACGCATGCTGAAAATAACGGCAAATGAAAGCAAGCGGACGACATCCTCGAGCGGATTCGCTTTATTTCCCTTCCAAGTAATCTCCTGTTAATGAACATTAGGGCTCGGATGTTAGAAAAGCTTCTTCCACACGCGTGAGGAAAGATGATCAAGTCTCAGATGTGTCATTCACCTTCACTCCTCCTCTTGTCTTCAGAAGTACATCCTCATGCCTCCAGGCAATTCCCGAAGGTGCTCTCACACTGGCAGAATGTGCTGATGTGCACCAGACAAGCACATCACATTGCAGCGGCAACAGAAGAAGAAAATGTAAGCGCCCACTGGCTGACTTATGGAAGGTTTTTTGGGGTGAGGGAAAAAAAAATGTAGGGCCAAACCAATATGGATTTTTCAGGCATGCATTATATATATATATATATATATATATATATATATATATACACACACACACACACACACACACACACACACACATTTTTTCACCCATTTGCACTGCCAATGGGGCGTATTAAACATCAGTATGTTGCATTACAGCATAATGTTTATTGAAAATGGAGGAGTCACAACCAGGGGTATAAATGAACAACAACAAAACATAATATATGTTTGGGCATCAATTGAATTTCAACCATTCCAAATTTCAATTCTTTCCAGGGTGTCCAAACTACACCCATTCAAATTTGACTTATTTGGTGACCCGTAGGAAAAACTACCGTTCAATTTTTAGCGGCTCACTGGACAGACAAAAATAATATTTGACACGACGCATGTTATTTGCCTGCCTTCAAATTTTGATTTTTAAATTTTAAATCTGAAAGTCAGACATCAGCTTTTCACTGGCTCATTGTTTGTAGGCCATTTTCAATAATTTTGTCCAAATTTCTATTTAACTCCTGTTGATTCTTATGTTTGCTAAAACAAGAGTCCATCTTGCATGGACATTTTTCCTTTTCTCTACGGGCAACTTCGCCTTCAACTGACCCAGCACGCATGTGTCAGGAAGTTAAGGAAGTTGTGAAAGTACAAAGGAAGTCAACCATCAAAATGGAGGCCTTTCTGCTGGGAGGCCTTGGTGTTAGCCTGCTCCCCAAGACAGAAGCCAAAACGGATGCCAAACAAACGAAAAGCAGCTGTCAGCTGTACTCGTTGCTTTGTTCTGATGGATTTCCCACTGGACCGTAGCTTTCAATTGCACCGTTGAGGTCAGAGTAGGTAGAATGCGCACTCATCATTATGTTATACACATACGCTGCCGAGTAATGCAAAGGTGGGGAAAAAAATTTGGGCTCAAGGGTCACTGAGATTTTTAAGAGACAGATGGGTTGGTCTTAACAGTTGCAAATTTTAAGTTTAGTGTCATTTTGGTCAACATGCACGACTGTCCGTGTCTTATGTTATGTGTTGTGTTTATTATTTTACTTTGTTAACTAATTTGTTAAGCGCTTTGTTACAGCTGCCGCTGTTGTGAAAGCGCTATATAAATCATCATGTATTGTATTGTATTGTAACATCCTCCCCCCGCTCCTGTTAACCAGTCAAAGAAGGTGTGACACACGTGTACCGGTACTTGTTACTTTATTCAGATGAAGCTACAGTAGAACAGCATCAAATATGTGAAGCACTGAAAAGAACAATAAAACCCAAACAGGTCATTAAATGGTGCACAAACAGTCTTGCCCCTCCCAATAAAAAAAAAAAAAAGACAAACCAAGTCTTTTGGAAGCCTCACTTAAACACCAATGAGGCATTTTGAGTCACATTATAATGAACTTCAGGCCAAATTATAATTCAAGATCAGCTTGACCCTTAATTAAAACATTCTAATTGGTCCCCTCATCAAGGCTTGTAGTGCACTTCCATTTTGGAAAGTGGTTTCGTGACAGAAGCACACTTGGGAGACAAAATGCATTCTGGGCCTTTTTTTTTTTTTTATTGGGTGACCACAATTGTATGAATAAAACACTGCAAGCTATTTTCTGGGCAAAGAGCTTGATGGATTCTCATTGTGGTTTATTTCTTCCGTTCATGTCAATCATACGCCAGTAGAAGGCTGGATTTGAGTCAATTGGGAGTTCCAGAAGCAACATGACCTCATAGCTACAATCCATAGATGTTTTCTACCACCTCATTAGGAATCAAAGTGGATGAACAGCAGGGGTGTGGAAGCATTTTATCAAGTCTGATGAGGGCCCACTTCTGAGGTTTGATTTGTTTTTTCGAATTACAAATGCTACAATTTGCCCATCCCTGGTGTCCAGTTAAAGGAGTTCAAAATACCGCCGTGTCTTTTATTCGCACAAATCCACTCGTTTTGCCTTCTTGTGAGAGGATTTGGGTAGCAACCAAGACAAGTGAGGCTACTTCGCTTGTGAAGATAAGAACATGTCACCTTTGGAACCACTTGTCATAGAATGCAACATTTTGATGTTGCTAAAGACAATGCAGGAAAAAAAAAAAAAAGTAAGAAGGAGGAATGTGAGAGGGGTCGTGGGGCTCAGCGATGCCTAGCTAGCTTTTAACACTATTGGTCAGCATGCACCACTTGATTGACACTTGACGGTGAAGCATCTGTTTACAGCGAAGGGGCTTAAAGGAGGAAAATGGAGAGGAAAAATATCAAAGTTAGCGGACTGGTCGATACCGTTAGCCATTGATCTTGAACATCAATAAATATCTTGTAAAAGGGTTGAGACGCGTTGGTTCACTTATGCCACGGCAAGACTGCAGGAAGAGGAAATGAGAGCGATTAGTACTCGAATTGTCCTCATCATTGGGAATTAAAGAAAATGACTACAGATTTAGTTCGATGTGCTTACCACTGATGGCCTCCTGGGCAAAGTACTTGACATCCATGTCTGTGTCAGTGGCCAACTTCTCCAGCACCGGCTTGACTTCATCCCGCAGTGTGCTGAGGACACAAAATTGCGGCGGGTCACGCGAGCGACGGCCACGCGCAGTTTCGTTCAGAGCGGCGGGGAAGAACAGATTTACCTGCCATCCAGGATGGGTCCGATCTTCTGCAGAGATTTGGCTACGTTGAAGCGCACGTTGGCCACCTGGTCGTTGGACATCTTGAGGACCACGGGAAGCATCTGCTTGGTGGTGATGTCCTGACCGCACGCCTCCGACAGAGCCTGAAAGAAATATTAAGTCACACGCACGGCATGAAGAACTCGACATGAGAGAAACCAAACAGCCTTTGAACAGGCACACGGCTGCTCAAAAGGACGACTTTGCCGACCATGAATAATCATCCAGTTTTGCCTCTTGAACGCCGATATAATCTTACTTCCCCATGAAACAGTAAACGTTTTACAGCAGCGATGAGGAGGAAGTTAAGAAGCATGGCTGGCAAAAATGTGTTATTCTGCGTCACTTGCATCCTTCCTCTAGACATACGGCCATTAAGATGCAGCGTCTGAGAAACTGTTAAGGTTTACATTCATGCTTAGCGCGCATTGTGTTAAAATGTTTCCGTTGAACTCTCTTCACTCTGTGCATCATGCATTTCAAAAGCAACTCTGTCAAAGATGACAAGTTTTGATGTGAGAAAGGTGTTATTTCATGGCAAAGAAAATTATGGAGAAGAAAAAAAAAATCAGATTTAACGAATAGCATGCATAAATCATCTTCTGCCGCCAACTCGAGGTTTTAAAACAGAAGTCGACCCTAAAAATTGTCTTTGCAATATGTTCTATGTTGCCCCACTTGTCTAAACACATCAATCTGATTAATACAGTGGTACCTCTATTTATGAAATTAATTGGTTCTGGAAGAAATTTCTTAACTAGAAAATTTTGTCAGTCCAGACACGTTTTCAATGGAAATCCCCTAATTCGTTTTGACACTTGTCAACGACATGTAGAATTCACTTTTCTTTTTTTTTTTGAATAGTCGCGAAACATAGATTTGACATCGCAGAGCGTCAAGCCATGCGTGTGTGTGTGTGTGTGTGTGTGCCTCACGTTGATGCAGAAGAGTGTAGTCATCCTGTGGAGGTAATTGGGGTCGTTGGCCATGCCCAGAACCTTTGGCACAATGGTGTTCTGCGCCCATTCGGCTCCAAACCTCTCCACCAACTTCATCAGGTTACAGGTGGCGGCCTCGCGGATGGCATACACTGCACGACCACACCACAACATTGATATTACGTCACATGCTCTGATGAACCGAGGGCGACACTTTCACTATAGTCATTAACAGGTGAAACCCCCCCCCCCCCAAAAAAATAAAGTCTAAAAACACAACGAACGGCCTCCACTTTGAGGAAATAGGGTCAGCTGATGACATAATTTGATGTGCTCCAATGTGTGCTTGTCTTTTTGTTCTCGGATTTGATCTTGTCACTGACCTAAGGAAATATGTGACCAGTGGGCTGCTCGATACTTAACATCCAGCCAACTGCATGCTTTGCACTATAAACAGTTGCCTGCTATGACTGAAAATATGACGGGGGCAGAGCGAGTGAAAGAAAAAGCCAAACGTGTGAAGCCTACCGTGAGGAAAAAGACAAATGATTCATGTCATTTTTTAAACATGAATTTACTTACTACTGGAATACAGAAGAGTTCCGACATGAGCATAGTAACGTCGCAAAAATGCACCCCAAAATGGTGACGGTGCTAATATGCTCGCATGAGAGCAGCAATGAAAGCATTGTGGTGTGTGCGTGAGTCCTCTTATGTAACAGTATGGCAGGGCCCTTTCCCCAACTCCCCCCAGACACTCACACAACATTCCAATGATGTAATGCAGCTGGCCCTTTGTTCGCAATCACACATTTCTAATTGGGGCAAAGCGGAGAAAAGAAAGCCTCAACACATAACACAAAAGACAAGGTTCTCGCGTGCAGAACGAAGTAGGACATGTAGTGCAGCTTTTTCAGGCACTGCGGCCCATTCCAACGTGTATCCTGGAGTTGCCAATGTGTATTTCACCCTGCTCAGAATACCAGTTGCTGCTGCCCCTCATGTTGTCCTGTTCTGTGACCATGAGTGTGCGTGTAACCTTAAAAAGACCGGTCCTGGCAAATGACGTTGGCGTCAGCGAATAGACATCGGTGACTCACCACAAATATGAAGTACACATGTTTTTGCATTTAATTGAAATCATTTTAAATCTGATGGAAATGTTCAATATCTGCAACAGAAAATGTAAAAGGATCAAATGATTCTCCTGACTAAAAGTAGACCCAAACGTTGACAGTTTTTATTGAATCAAAGTAGACAAATAAAACTGTTTTCTTGGACAAAACCAGAAACTAAAACACTCGACTTATAGTCGACTAAATCTTGAATAAAAACAGGATGAGGTTGACTAAAAAAAGTGCCATTGAAAGTAGACTAAAAATGAGACAAAATTCTAAATTGGCTGCTAAAATGAATACAAGCATTTAATTACAACTTTCCAAAATTTTCTCGGGGAACATTTTGTTTTGAAATGAGGAAGTCGTAAACCAGGGTCGCGAAACAGATTGTGTTCCACTGCATCAACGCGCGCGAGCGCTCTCTGAAAATGCATGCAACGTACCAAGAAGCGCAGCAAGCACCTTACCGTGGTCAATAAGCCAGGCCATACAAAGAGTGTTGAGCTTCTCATCGAAGAATTCCACCCCCTAAAAGCAGACAGAAGCAATAAATAAATCAAACGCGGTTAATTATGAATTTTACACTTCAATGAAATCAAAGTCACAGGGAGCGGTAGAACATTTTTTGGGCGGCGATTTCGGCCATCCCCCTCAGTGGCGCGACTCACCAGCTGACCCGCCAGCAGGGGCATGTACTCGATGATGGCCAGGCGGACCCTCCACTTGGCGTCCTCGGCCAGCTCCACGATGGCTGGCAGGAGCGACTGGGAGAGCTGACGGATGCCGATCACCTCGTTGACACAGTCCAGGTTGGAGATGATGTTGAGACGCACCTCGGGACACTGGTGACACACAGTAGTTATAAAGCTTGGTTTTGTTGTTTGTATACCTATATAACTCACTTAAATAAATCAAATTATTTAATATGCTATAGTATAATTTGTGGCCTTCATGCATGTACAAGTTTGGCTAACCTTAAAACATTTGCATGCGAATAATGCACTGACCCCTGTATTATGTTCAATGTGGACATTACTGTTACACTTGTGAACAAATAAGATGCTGCTCAAATTATTAGACAAATCTAATCACATTGTAGTACATCATAATGACAGTCAGTAATTGCATGATAAACACTGAGTGCAACTGGACACCATGGGATTCTTACACTGCTGTACAAACTCATTCATTGGACACATTTCATAAACTGAGGACACTCTTTCCAAAGCTTTCCTCCTCCTTGCACAAATGTTTACATACAAGGAAAGACAAACTATTATGTTTGTTTTAAATACAAACGATTAAGCATTTAATGTTAAATTTCATGAACATACAAAAAAAAAAAAACAAAAAAAAAAACAAAAACAAATTAAGGATCTGAGCCGCCAGGCAAGAATGAATAAAACACTTCTCCAAAAAGCCCCAAGTGATCTTCATTTAAATTTTTGAAATTCTGATGGTCAAACCTGTCAACATTTGGGGAGAAATCTAATTAGACTGACTTGGTCTTGTTTTGCATCAGCAAGAAAGTGGGCCGAGGCAGAGGCACAGATGACAGTTTCAATCCATCCAAAACATCTGGAGGATAACCTGCCTAAGTCTTTGGACAAAGCTACAGAAGAGTCCTACATTTACCGGCACTCCGTTCTGTTTTTCTTGATAGAAAAAAAAAAAAAAATACAATGTTCAAGCAAAGTGTGGCTGTAAAAACAATAATTTTAAAAAATCATGTGATGTAACAAAGTGACTGTAGGCTGTGTAGTTGAATGAAGAAATAGAAAACAAAAATAGTGCATTTCCTTTACCTCGTCCTTGAGCTGAGCCAGGAAGAGAGGCAGTAAATGCTCTATTGTGTTATCCTTGCCCAGGATAGCAGAGAGGCCCATAATGACCAAGGCCAGAGCTGACTTAACATGCTGGTTGGTGTCTGAAACCAGTTCCTGTGCACAGGCCAAAAAAACAACAATATTAGTTGGTAGATGGTAATACAGCAGAATAAGAATCTTAAAAAAATAAAATGCATATGAACATTTGAATTCCTAAATTATACAAAAGCATCCATCCGTTTTCTAATCTGCTTATCATCGAAGGGTTGCGGGTGTGCTGGGCTGCCAATCGCAGGGCACACATAGACAAACATAATGAGCTGACATCACACACTAGTTTAAGATGTGATGTAATACATAGTGCCCCCTGCTGTTTGAAAGCTGTAGAAAAAAAGCAGGAAATAATGAGCACCACAGACAAGTTGTTTCTTCTCAAAGTGTCAGCAAAGCTTGTAAAAAGTTGAGCGGCTGTAAACAGACACACCGTTTCGCACTCACTTTATGACAAATTGAGTTTGAAGTTCACCTGGAAATTTATTTTTTTCTTACCTTGACGCACGGTAGGATGTGAGTCATGATGATCTGCTCACGATTGTCCTCTGGGAGGTTCTCACAGAATTCTAACAAAGAAGAACGCCCGGTAAAATATTGAAGTTATTAAGCATTGATATATTATACCATGTTTTCACGACCGTCAGAATAAAGGATTAACACCTCGAAGAAAGTGTTTATTTAATGCAAAGCAAAACATGACACTTTTTACTACAGTAGGCACAGAAGATGACCAGCTTTTCGGTGTAATCTGGCGGATATTGCTCTGCCATGGTTGCCCTTGCCGCCCAAATGGATAAATGGCACCGTTTCATTGAACAAAAGCACCAAGCATGAGTTGATCTTAAAATTCTCTTGTGTCTGCTGGTGTCCCATGGTGCTCCACGTAACTAATAGCTTGCAGCTTAACTCATTCACTCCCAAAGACGGTTTCTTTTCAGACTTGGTCCAGAATTGTCTGGTACTGAATGAGTTAAACTGCTTCGTAAGGCTGTCTCTGTAGGTGCCATTTTCGGGGGTTCTTAGACAAACTAATGAGGTTTAGCACAATGCACAGCCTGGCACATTTTACACATACCGGGGGTGTGCCTTTAGTATCCTCTTTCACACACACCTTTCCCCACTTTAACGTTCGCATTCCGTCCTCAGTTATGTCCGCCTTTTCTTTCCATAAGCAGCGTGACAGCACAAAAACAGTCAGTCAAGCGCAGATGGAAGTCACACAAGGCCATTGACGGATTTTGGAACGATGTGCATACCCAAGACCGTTTTGGAGAGGATTTAGGATTTTAGTGCGGTTGAGAAAATACGGTACATTCATGTACTGACCTTTGACTTTGTTAGCGGCAGCGGCACGGACCTCAGCTTCGCAGTCCTTGAGAAGGTTCTGGAATGCTGGGACCAGGTCATTCTTTGTTATTTCTGGACCCACTGCTTTTTGAAGCTGAAAGGGAAAAACACATTTTCAATATGGAAACAACCGATTAGCATGACTATAAATTTCAACTATCACAGACAGTGACACAATGTTACTTTTAAGTCAAGAAGGGCCAAACCAGTGTGTGTGTGTGTGTGTGTGTGTGTGTGTGTGTATATATATGTATATATATCTATCTATCATATATATATATATATAAATTTTTGGGGGAGACAGATGCAGTTACCAAATAAAATTCCAATAATCAATTAATTCCAAAATATACACACAGTATAAAATAACTTTTTGGGACCCTGAACATTTACCAGAACGACTATGTTTACATGCAGTCAATAACACCTTTAAAACCGGAATTTTAGCAATATTATGGTTGTGCTAGGCCAATTAAATAAACACCATCCAAAATTCAAATATGCTTCAAGTGAGGTTTTAAAAAAACACAAACAAAAAAAAGCCCACAAGACTCCTGGGCTCCTCCTTTTCTAACCCAAATATTTGGTCATATTAACCACACATCAGAATAATTCCATTCAACGGAACATTTGTTGGTTTTCTGCACATGCTCTATCCACAAGGAATTTTGGTCTTTTGACTACAGGCAGTACTTTTATCTGGCGTGCAAACCACCAGAACTACATAGAGGTCAACGAATGTTTTTATACTATTCATTTGAGCTCCCAGCAATCGCTGTTAATAGATTGTTTTTTTAAACGACTGGCATCGATGAGAGGAACTAAGAAAACAGGTAACGATTCTGAAATTTGCCCAGATGAGATCCCAGTAAACCTTCATAAGGGCACTGACAAAGCGAAATGTCATACCATGCACTTAAGTACAGTTGCAATCAATGTCAGCAGGAAAAGGGCTTATTCTGCAATTCAACAAGGTCTACCTCATTTAGATTCACAGCAAGATTGTCGTCTCAACAGCACAGCTGAATTCTACTTCAAGATGAACTGCAGCATTGCGGGTCATTATTCCATTTGTGTGCAATTCTGTGGTTCGTGTCAAGATTACCTCTGAGAACTTGTCAGCCACCATATAGCGGACCCTCCAGGACTTGTCCTCGGCGGCCTGTCGCAGGGTGGGCATCACCAGGGTCTCCAGGTCCTCCTGAGGCAACAGAGTGGCGATACTGACGCAAGCCTCCACTGCCAACAGCCGCACTGAGTCCTGAGGGAGCGAAGAGAAGGCACAAAAATGGTCACTGCTGGAAGAATGAGCACTCCGTTTAAAAGTACAGTGCAAGTTCTGAGGAAAATGTTAAAGCTCATGAAATAAATAAAATACGCTTTATTTGTGGTATCGATTGCAGTCATCACATCATGCAAAGCTGTCAGTGCAGCTCACTCGACTTCATTTCAGGCAGCATTAAGTGATTTACACTTCGCCCAAATCAACGGAATAAACCCATCCGCCAAAAGTCACTGTGATGAGAGCAAACACGTTTAAAGCCGTCTCCGGCGATTTTAAAAGTACGTTAGGCCAGAGTTAGCGAGTGTTTAAATGTTTTGATTAAGGTGGTAGCTATCCAATAATTCTAAAGCCAAAATAAAGCCATTTCAAACAATGAATTAGGATTTTTTTAAACTGTTTTATTTTTGCATTACTAAGCAATAAAATATGCGGCGCAGCTTCCGTGGCAGGCTTTGTGCATTTTAGTCCATCTGTTTGAGAAGTTTGAAAAGAGGGAGCATTGAGTGAAGATGTAAACCACTAGGTTAGCTTCTCTCATTAGCCAGAGTGCCATAACCTTGCACTGGTGTTGACTTTTTTTTTATATTACCTAATTGGTTTATTTCAAGTTATAATTGAGATACGCTCGTTTAAAAAAAAAAAAAAAAAAAGATAAAATTACGTGAGGTCCATCAACAATGTGATGTTTGCTATTCCTCATCATTCACCTTGTTGTTAAATGAGCGTTTTGTTTCTCCTTATATGTATGACTATTGCGGATACATCAGATCATTCTGTAATTAGGCCAATACCTGCTCATCAGAGGCCAGAGCCGTGAAGAGGGAGATGATATCACTTCGAACATAATCCAACTCCAACACTCGGGCAAACTCGCCCAGTTTTGAAGCGGCAGCACGACGGACCATTGGAGTGTCGTCTGAACACAGGGTGCGGAAATGCCTGCAAGTGACCACAAACACATTTTATCAAGTCCAATTCAATTTGTGATTGTGTGAAAACACTCCACTTACTGGCGAATCTCCGCCTTAACAGTGCTAGAAACACGTGGATAACAGACACTGAAGAGACCGCAGGCCGACGTGCGAGAAGTGAACCAGTCACCGCAGGACAGCCGCTTGACCAAGGGCTCAAAATGGACCTCCAGGTCAACTGGAGAATGCTCCTGAGAGATTTTGCGGAGGGACTCTACGGCTTTGTCTCGAACGACAGTCTCCTCCACTGTTGCTAGGCTCTCCAGAGGAGGCTGAGAATCGGGGAAAGGAGGACAGTGGGTGAGTTGGTACAGCTTCTCAGACTGGATTTACACTGCATGGTTCAAGCATTAACATTTTGATCCCAAGAAGGGCTGCAGTAAAAATATTTTTCGAATCAATTATTTGATGAATCTCGCAGTGTGGAGTAATTCGGAGGTTGCAATCATTTGAATCAATGGGGGTGAAGAATCCAACTGAACACTTGTGTATTTGTATGATTATTGCGTTATTGTCTCTGCTATATTGCCAGTGACCAGCGTTGACCCTTGTGGCGTTGCTTTCATTAATTTGGGTGCCATTACCTTGCCAAACAAACACTTTGACTTGCAGTCAAGCATTTACTATGACAGGGCTAACCAAATCGACAGCTATATCCTGCCTGTTTTCGAGCTCTCCCGACTCCAACACACCTGATTCAATTGATCATTTCATGCTTTCATAGAACTTGATCATATGAGTCAGGTGTGGTGAAGTAAACATGTAGAAGATGGCTCTTGAGGAACCGAAGTTGCCTACCCCTGCACTATGACTTCACAAAATTGCTTTTAACAAGTGTGGCATAAATGTAAGTCAGATGGTCAAAATCAAGATGACAGCAATAGAGCAATTTAATCTGTGGCTTTATCACTTCAACTTTTCATGTTCCACAAAACAATTACATTCAAACAGTCTGAAGCACCGAATTTATTTAGACACTATATAAATGATATACAATATTAAGGACGTCCTGAGCCAACTACGTGATCGTAAATTGGTGATTTTTAGCTGACCATGTATTGTGTGAAAATCATTTTTTTTAAAAAACATTTAAAGGTCACAAAGCTACAAAATCCAAATGTGCAAATATCTTGCCAAATAGAACAGTAGTAGCTTAGTTTTATCAGTGTATCTCTCTCTCTTTTAAGTAACGATGCAATTTGTGACACCCTCACACCCAAAGAAATGTCTCCTCCGCTCTGCACAGCTATCCTGCAGTGTAAACCCTGCCTTAATGTAAGACAGAGGCCTAAAATGGAGTATTTGAGTGGAGTTTAAATGATACTATAGAAGGTCTGGAACGTACCAGGAGACAGTGGACATACTCTGGGCCTCCCACCAACATGGTGAAATTGCCAAGCTGCTCAGCCAAGGCCAAGAGCACCTCATCTTCATCGTAGATGGTGTCTAACACAGACAGCGTTCCGATAGACATCAGTACACACACACTTGAAAATGTGATACCATTGTTGATATCACCTTAGCATGTGACAATATTGTTAAAACGTGGCTGCCAAGTCATAAGATATTTTTATTGGCTGGATTGAAGTCATTGCTTACCTGTGAGGAAAGGAAGCAGTTCAGTGCGAGTCCGCTCCACACCAAGAGCCAGTGCAATAGTGGACAGCTTCTTGATGCTGTTCAGTCGCAGCTGTAGAGCAACAGAGAGAGAATCTTTATGCCATATTCAACATGATCAGACAGAACCTTACCGACTAAAACATTTTTCACTACAACAAATTACCCGAATAAACAAGGCTGCCCAAACACCTGCTAAAAATGGCACCAAAATATGCATCTGAATTTCTGATTAGATAGTGGTAATATTTGTTTGCGTCTTACGTTTGAGACTTGTTGGAGTATGTTGTTGTGCTTAGGTTACAGCAATTTATTTTAAACGGGTAACTTTGTAAGATGGCTTTGAAGTGATAGCGTTTTGAGGTGCGATTCTCAACTGATAGGTCAGGACTGGAGAGCAAGTGAATCCAGGCTAAATTTAGCTACTCCCTGACACACCAAGACGTTTGGATTGGAACAGTCTGGTGACATCTTGCCACATCTAAGAGCGTTTTAGAAAAAAAAGCACAAAAACAGCAAATATGTTGGCTCTTCATCCAATATCTGAGGATAGATTAGGAATCAACAATAGGGTGAAATTCACTATGTACTAACTTTTACCACATGTTCATCAGTTTAAGTGCTCCTAACACACTTATCCAAGCATGGGTAATTATTAGGGGTACTGTAAGATGATTAACAGGTTTTTCAATTTTATCTGAGAGAACTGCTTTGTACGGTCTAAACCAGGGGTGTCAAACTCATTTTTGTCCACTGTAGTCATCGTTCCACTTGGAGGGCCGTTATGACAAACCATATGAAGTCAAGAATAATGATTTATCCAAGTAGTGTTTCAGTAACTGTAATGAAAGGTTTGGTAACAAGAAAATGCTTACAATATCTGCTATTTATTACAGATGAGAACTTGAAATTGTACAAGAGTTTAGAAAGCATCAATCAAGGAACTTACCATGTTTGATTTGCTTTTGTGGGCCACATAAAATGATGTGGCGGGCCAGAGCTAGATTAGTTTACACATTAGCCTTGGAACTGAATCTTTGTTGACATTTGACGATCACAGAAAATGTGTGGCTCCATGCAAGACAACAGATGTGATTCACTGTCGTGAACTATTAACAATAAAAAGTGAGAACGGTGACAAGGCTCCGAGAATATCGAGGGTTAACTGACGGAATTTGGACGACAGCAGAGAACAGGTCGTGTTGTTATTGTTTTAAGCCTCCTGGCGATGACTAGCATAAAACAACGACACGAATTGCAACTTGGGTTAAAATTTTTCATTTACTATGAATGGACACAACATAGTGGCAAACTATAAAGCCATTGCTGCAAAAACGAAACGCTTTTGTCACGACAAACCATCGATACTGGAAGACGTCAGAGGCTTGCCCAATGACTGGAGAGCGCCCGATTCATTCGAGTGAATCATTGTCAAAGCCGAACAACAAGCGATAGTGAATATTGCGCGTTCTATTTGGACGTAATATTCCTATTAGGCACAGTAGCGATCATAAACACGAGTTGCTGCTTCGACAAGGGTGCGCCCCTGGTTGAGAAAGCAGGATAGGCCCCACTAGCACATTCGCTAATTAGCGATGCTAACCAGCTACCCAGCGGTGACGAAAATGTCACACAACGGGCTCCCGTTTCCAGCGCAGTATTAACAACAAGGTCAAGAAAGCGCTCGCCACCCACCTGAACGTCCTCATTTCGCAGTTCGTCAATGAGAACGGCGATAGGGTAAAGAGAATCGTCTCCATCGGCTCCTGCCATTTTGGATTGTGCAACGATGAAGTGAATTGAGCTGCTGGGGCCAACTACGGGGTTTCCGGCCCACTTATGAGGGAGCTGATTCGCCTTCACGGTCGTTTGTTACTCATTCAAACCGATGACGTTCAAAATTAGCACAATGAATTTAGAATGCAAATAAAAGCAGTCTCCGTTTATTTATAATCATAAAAAACTCAAGATTACATTTTGATATTTATTTTAAAAAACGGCAATCATTATACTGCATTAGAACAAATAGATCCTTACCCATATGTCATTACCTGGCGCAACTAAAAATGTGGTCTTGTTTTATTCATTAATATATTTTAAAATGTAATAAATTATTTGTTTCTTATTGGCATTATCTAGCTATCCATTCCTCCAACCAACCTGAACTGGTTGCCAGCCAATGGCAGGCCACACATAGCAACCAACCATTTACACAATTTATCCATCCATCCATCCATACATTTTCTGATCTGTTTATCCTCACAAGGGTCGCGGGGCGTGCTGGAGCCTACCCCAGCTGTCTTCGGGCAGTAGGCAGGGGACACCCTGAATCGGTTGCTGGCCAATCACAGGGCACACGGAGACGAGCAACCATCTGCGCACACACTCACACCTCGGGACAATTTCGAATTATCAGTCAGTCTGCCATGCATGCCTTTGGAATGTGGGAGGAAACCGCAGTACCCAGAGAGAACATACAAACTCCACACAGGAAGGCCGGAGCCGGAATTGAACCCACAACCTCTGCGAGGTCGACACGCTAACCGCTGGGCCACCGGGCCCCCTTACACAATTTAGTGATTAATTAACCTAAAGTGCATGGTTTTGGAATGTGGGAGTTAACTGGAGCACCTGGAGAAAACCCAGGCGGGCACGGGGATAACATGCAAAAACTGCAAACAGGAAGGCCAGGGCCAGATTCGAACCCGCACCCAAGTCAGGCTAGTGGACCACTACACCATCAGCAACCCGCTACAGTATATTTGGGTATGAACCTCTGCGATCTCAGTGTTCCTCCTATCTGTTCCATCTATTTTAAACAAAAAGCATGTTTTAGTTGATAAAATATCTATTAAAAATATAATTGTGAAATATGTTTAATAAAAATCTAAATTTGTATAATTATTTTATTTCATTATTTCTATTTACAAAATACGAAATATTGCCATCCTTTCCCTCCTCCTAGAAGCCTGGGCGACAAATTTATTCGTTAGTCATTTAAATTCTTCTTTTCCTGTTAAACATGTTTTTGTTTTATTTCAAGAAAAAAAATATAGTTAAAAAATGCCCCACCCGTGTTCAGCTCAACAGGAAATGTATCTTTTGTTTCCGGTGTCAGAGTGTTCGCCAAACCTGAACTAGCCAAGATGGCGTCTCAACAGCAGCAACCTGGTGGTCCAGGCTTACAACAAGCCGCTTCTCTGCAACAACAGCAGCAGCAGCAGTTGAACCAACAGCAAGACTTCGACCCGGTGCATCGATTTAAAATGCTCATTCCGCAGTTGAAAGAAAGTCTTCAGGTGCTAAAACATATAACCCTCTTGTAGGATGCGCCTTCAAGCGCGTCTTAAAGTTGTTGAAAGACGACTGAAGTGACGGCTTTGTATTTATCCTCACAGAACCTAATGAAGATCGCGTCGCTTAACCTTACCCACAACACGATCATAGACAACGGAGTGTACGTACGATTCTTTTCTTAACGTTATGTACAGAGGGTCATCGGTTTACGACGGGGACTTTTTGAAGTTATGTATGAAGTTCTACAAGAAATTTGTGTGAAAAAGTTAGCGTTTACCGTGAGGTTGTAACCATACTAACTATTAAAGTATTCAGGTTGTGTTGTTTCTTTGTACCTTAGCACAAGCAATGATGCCGCTGTTCAGCGCTTTGACAAAAGCTTAGAGGAGTTCTACGCCCTCTGCGATCAACTGGAGCTGTGTTTGGTGGGACATCTTGAATACTTTGGTTTTTTTCTGTAGTTGTGGTATCTTCCACTGACCTATGTCCCCCGATGCAGAGGTTGGCGTACGAGTGCCTCTCGCAGAGTATCGACAGCGCCAAGCATTCGCCCAACTTGGTTCCCACCGCGACCAAACCGGACACGGTGCAGACGGAGTCCATGTCCTACGCCCAGTACCTTGGTATGATAAAGTCCCAGATCTCATGTGCAAAGGACATCCACAACGCTCTGTTGGAGTGTTCCAAAAAGATAGCGGGAAAGGGACAGCCTCCGGGTATCATGTAGATCTTCTCGCCGGGACTTTAATTGAAATGTTATATATTGTTGGATTTATTGCTGTTTTGTACCACCTCCACCAGAGGAGTAATACGTTGTCTTTTTTATGTGTTTGTACAAGATGAGACATAAAAAAAATAAACAACTTGTTTCCTCTGAACTTTAGGCAGGGTGGAGGAGTTACAATTTTGCTGTCGGATCCTGGCTATGCCAAAGAACACAGCAAAGCTTATTGTTGTAATTTTATGCGTTTTAACATCGCCTCCCATAAGCAGATAATTAAATGCCTGCTGTCATGCATTAAAGAAATTGCAACAATTGCTGCGCACACAACAGGAGTGTTCTGTCACATATTGAGGAATTTCCTTACTCATGAGTAAGTATTATAAGTATTGAGCATAGTTAACTACTTCGGCGTGCTGTTGCTTTGAATGTTACTGTCGTAAATAAATTAGGGTCAACATTATTTCGTAAAGGGTGGTCAGGAGTAACCAATTCCAAAGCGGGCTTAAAAGGTTGTGCTTAATTTTATCCAGTAGGTGGTGCCAAACGATTACTTACCAACTTATGCTTTCGTTGTAAAGTGTTGATTTCAACTGCTTGGACCCAAAATAGCTGTCGACACATTTTGGTGGAGACATTTTTATTTTTTGATGCTAAATGTATATTCAAAATATACAATAACAGTTGCAAATGGCGTTATTGAGCTTGGATGAAAAATGAACAATACAAAAAAAGGGAAAGAAATGTTCCTTTGTACAAAGATTACAGCAGATACAAGACATTTCAGGTACTCGGCAAGATACATTTGACCTATTTTAAGTGCAATAGTGATTCCTAAGTCAGTAACTGAAGTTGTTACGTCCCTATGGTGACAGTTTTAAGTCGAATTCCTTTTTCAGCATCCATCATGTAGGTAAACAGCTAGTGTCTCATGGGTTAAGAGTGAAAAAAAAAAAAAACTAACAGCTTGGTTGTCTGCCTGTTAAAACCACCTGTGGTAGCATCCACGCTTATTTCTTCAGGCGTTGCGTAGCTGCCACTTACTGTCCATCTCTCACCTATCTCTTTGGAGGACACCAATTGGTCCACTCATTTAGAATCCAGCTAACTCTTCACGGTTATCCTGTTAGTTGCAACGCTTCACTTCCTGACTTCCTCAATGCTTTGTGCCACTGCCACCAAAACGGTAGATGTGACTGTTATTGAAAATACGTAGTGAGATGGGAGCAGAGGAAGTCGCCTAACCGCCAAGTTGCTGCGCATAAACTGCGCAACACTAACAAACCTTGAGAAGCAGTGACCAGTAAAACAGCGTCAAAAATGTGTCACATTTCAATTCATGGGTCAGCTCCATCTGATTTAGTCATGGGGATGGTACCATTACCGGTATGTGTGTAGTGTGAGCAATTGAGATTTGCGAGGATGTTGATGATTTTACTGCTTTGTCGAGTTGGAAGCTTTGAGGATACTTTTAGGTTTGGACTTGGGTTGTTCTCTGTGGAAGACAACAAAACATTAAACAAAGCCATTGTTTTATGTTTTCATGATTGTTGGTTATAGCAGAACCTCCAAATCAAACACCAGAGATTCAGGGTTTGATTCTCAACTTTGCATGCTCTCCCTGGGCTAGTATGGATTTCCTCCACTTCCAAAAACGTGCACGTTTGGTTTATTAATTCTCTTAATTGTCTATAAATGTGTATGTGTGTATTAATAGTGTACCCCGTGACTGACTGGCAACCAGTCCAGGGTATACCCAACCTCTTGCCCAAAGCCAAGTGGGATAGGGACCATCACCTGTGACTCTAATGAGGACAAGTGCAAGAGAAAATATGTTCTCTTTGTCATCCTTGGTAAGCCTCTGTGGTGGCGTCACAAAAATAGACAACGTAAACGCTATCTATCAGCTGCTTTCTGAGTTGTTTGTGAAGAAAACCTTTATTTGTCTCACAATGGAGGAACCCTATGACATTACTAACCTGTGGGTCCGCTCAGGACCAGCTAGAGGTGCCTGCTGACCTCTGCGACGTCGGGGCGGCTCCAGCTGAGCCGGGGAGCCAGACGGCCTAAACTTGGACAACTCCTTCTGCCACTCCTCGTCAAAGGACTGTGCTTCAGCTAAGAGAGCACAGTCAGAATGTGAAGGTGAAGGGCAGGACAAGCAAAATGAATGCAATGCAATTGATGACACCGATGAAACTCCTTAACCCACATTCATCCATATTCTGGAAGTCTTGTATGAGCTCCTTATCTCCCGTTTTCTTGTTCATTTTCTTCTCAATGACGTGTCCTCTGTCTTGGATGTGGTGACCGATGGCCATCTTCTCCAGACCACTTTCAGAGTCTTTCAAGGCTCTCACTGTCTCCTTCACCTGCACATGAACAAGCATATCGATAGGGAGAAAATCATTCAACTCATTCACCTTAAAAAAAAAAAAAAAAAAAAAAAGGTACAGCTTTAGTCTTGAGACTGCATCAAAAATTCAACTTTTACAAAAAGAAATAATCTGTTTTGATTGCTACTGTCAGAGAGCCATCAATAGCTTTACTGAATACAGCTGTCTAAATAAAGTTGAGTTGACAGTTTGGTGACCCGGATTGCCCGATCCTCCATGAGAGGGTCAACATATCCCTCTGTTGATGCACTTACACCTCCTGGGGCCCGGCGTGTCGACGACGAGGCCTGGAAGACTTTTGGAGGGTCGTTTCCAACCTTGGAATACGTCATGACGGACGAGGAGCTGAACGAGTGGGTGTTTGCATCTGTGGACATGTCCTGACACACAAATGCAAATCAACGCCATTTTACTTGCAATGCAAACATAAGAGACATGAAAACGGTTTTTGCCATGAACTCACAAAGTTTTTGTACATCCCGTCCATCCTGCTCCTCATGTTGGTCATGATGCTGTCAAACATGCCAAAAGGGTTCGTCGGGGGGTCCTGCGCAAACACACAAGGTACAAAAAATAGTCGTAGCAGTCGGATGGTTATGCTTGGATGCCACCTGCTCTCGAGGCATTATCAGCTCATAAACAACTCTATATTCGTGCATGTACAAACAAAACATGCGTTGGGATCGGCGTGCTATATGCGTCATGTCTGTTACATCAACTAAATGGGACATTCACCACGCTGGGACCTACTTACATTGACATAAACCAAGGCAACGTAACCCACATACAAACAATTATTATTTCATGACTTGGACACCGGTTAGGATTGAATTGTGAAGAGTAGACATACTTTGCAGTAAAATTGTCAGCTCATTATTATTTTAAGACGTGATGCAGTCGAGTTCTGTTTGTGTACACACCCGCTGATCCCTGGCTCCTGGTTAAAAAAAAAAAACGATACAATGTCTTACGTTCAGCCTTTGCCTTCACGTTTCAAGCAAGTTACTGCGGCGAGAACAAAGCAAGTCAAGTCCTCGCTCGATTTTAAACAAGTCTAACTGAGTTATCGCATGGGTTGGTTCTAACAGTCCCAACGTATATTGGCATGATTGTTTTTTTTTTCATTGATCATACACAAATGTTTATTCACACCTATTAAATTTATATGAACATGAACTAGGAGAGAGTATAAATATTTCATAGGCTTTAGCTGAGCAAGTCGCAAGTCATAAAAATTGTCATGCGTCTCAAGTCCCTCGCCGCCTGCGTAGTCCCTTTTGCCAGGTTACAGTGTTTCACATTTGACATGCAAGCACTGTGGACTAATGGTTAGCGCGTCTGCATCAGTTCTGAGGTTTGGGGTTCCAATCTCAAGGTCAGGCTTTCACGCGCAGAGTTTGCATGTTTTCCTTATGCTTGTTTGGGTTTTCTGCAGGTAATTTGGCTTCCCACACGCCAAAAACATGCACTTTAGTTTGCTGGAAAACTAAAGAAAATCAAATTGATAGGCGCAGAAACACTGCAACAAACACTCTTTGGTTGTCTAACAGATTTGCGTTCTTTTCAGATTTTAATGTCTATGGACAACAGCACCATTTTTATTTAAATGAGGTAGTAGCAAAACAAAAAATATGAAATATACAGGGATTCTTCAATAACCATTTTGAATCGAGTTTGTTTGGGTGTGCAAATCGAGCAATTTGTTTGGTTATGCAAATACATGGACGAATTGAATAGGCGCCTAAAAAAAACACGATACAGTTTTTTGGATTTCATTTCTGTTATCATTTGGACAGATATGAATCGATGTGAGGCCATCATCATTTTGACAGCTTAGGCTTTGCAGTTTATTTTCAAACGTGTACCCATGGCTCGTTAAGTGACACTGAAGCAGTGTTGCAAGACGTTTTTTCTGCCTGAATGCAAATCAGAGCCAGTTTTAGAGGCTGTTTGCCAATGTGGAGTGCAATTTACGATATCATGGCAAGTTCCAAGAGACAGGATATGTGCTTATCATAGGGCAGTGGAAAAGATTCACCAGGAACTTGGGAGGGGAGAGAGTGGATATGAAAAGCTGAAAGACAGCTACTTGTTTTGTAGCGGAGAGTAGAGTGACATGCTGCTACTAACCCTATGGATGAAAACGCCAAACTCCTAGAGCAGGCATTCGCACAGAGCCAGGGAAAGTCTATCCAGACGGCTGCGCTGGAACTCGGGAGGCATCCGCTGGATCAAGCTTTTGTAGATGCCGAGTTTGAGTGCAGCCATCTGGATAGACTTTTTCCCTGGCTTTGCGCGAATGTCTGCTCTAGGAGTCAGGTGTTTTCAACCATTGTGGTAGTAGGAGCCCTCCTGCTACTGTTAATCACAAATAGGCTAAATTGTATTCCATGTTGAAGCACTGTAACGGCCATAAAGTTTCTAAAACTGGCATTGAACTGCAGTCGAGGACAGAAAAAAAAATCTTCTTGCTTGGCGGCAATTTGGCAGAGCGCATATGGCAAGCCACAGGCATGGAAATGGTTGATAGGCTTACAAAAACAGCAAAGCTGAAGCTGTTGATTTTGCTTCTGTCCGAATGAAAAGAAAATAAGTTATTGTGACTTTTGGTACACGAAGTACCTTCCCACAAGTTTGGGCGACTTTGATGGGTCATAGAGGAAGTGTTAGAGGATGCATTTGACAATAATTGATTAACAGGTGAACATTACTTGAAGAGCAATCTACTCACCGTGCTGTCAAAGGGCAACAGTGAGCGACTGAGGTCCTGGAGGTTGAAACAATATCATAAGAAAAATAAGCATAGACTTTTAGGTCCAGAACAGGCACAGAAAATGTTAGAACACACAAAGTCGGGGGGGTTCGCCAGAGATCGTCTGGTTTACCTTGGAAAGTGATACTTCTGATATGTGAAAGTTTAAAATGATGGAAATTGAAGCTTTGAGTGTCAAGGACAAGAAGACGGGGCTTTTTATCGAGAACAAAACTGCCGGTGTTTATGAATCCGCAGCCCCCACTTTAGCATCTTGGCATCTATTGCTATCTATGTATGTGTGTGTTATGTGCAGGGGGCTACAATCAGCGTGGTGTTGAATGACTTGTGTTCCATGTGTAATTGGGTCGCATTGCCAGAGATTAGCGTGGGCTTTAACACTGAAACTGAGCTTCATTCTGGGAAGGCTACGCAGGGGCTGCAGAGTTCAAAGCTGCTCTGCTCCGCTCACTCAGCTCTTTCCCCAAAAGGTCAAGCTGATGTAAATAAAACACTCCTGCTCACTATCTCGCAAGCCAATTTGATCCCACGGTGGCATCTGTGGACAAATAAATGCCACTTCCATTTGTGACCTGCTTATGTTTAGACATGACTGCTGTTGAACAGAAGAGCGCGAGGGTACAAGATAAGGAACCTGTAGTGAAGGGCCCACTGGTCACTGCATCATACTGAGAGTTTGGTTCTCATATTTTGGCTGTTCGCATGATCAGAAACACCTTTCAGTATGCTACAGTCCAGTTCTAATCGAATCTAAACAACAATACGGTAAGAAATATCTCTAACAAATAAAAAAAATGAATTCTTTTCAGACTCAAAAACAGCACTGCGTGATGGTACATTTATAAACAAGTGTGCCCAGAGGATGAAAGGTGATATGAAGCAGTGAATGGCTACTCTCAGGAGACAGCAGGGAAATGTGAGCACTCTTTGCGCCGTTAACTCCATGAAAGGTAAATGGAAGGAACTACCTTTCCCATGGGGAATTGAATGCGTTGCAAACCAGATAACAAAATTAAAAACAGACACATCTTCAAGAAGCCAATGTGTTAAAGCACGATTTGCTTTTCTACTTTTCGACGAGAACATGGTTGAATACGAGGACAATTATGCCTTATTTTCAGAAAAAAAAAAGTTTAAATTCCATCCCAACCACGATTAACAAAAAATTGTGACACTGAAGCAAAGTTGCACCAATCTTGATGAAACAACAATAAGGCTCAGTTTTGAGAGGTACCATAGAACAATATCTTAACTCATTCACTGCCTTGGAGTTGTATATTCGTCAAGTGAAATCCAACTGTGTCTTTTATATGAGTATACAATCCACATTTCAAGTATGTTTCTCAGCAGACAAGCCTTGACGAGGGTCGCGCTCAGCTTGTCGATGAAATTCAGTTTTGTCAACCACTATAACAACTAAAAGATTATGTTACAGAATCTGTAACCCAATGGCCTTGGGCCAGTATGGCATTGTGTCGGGCCACCACGCACCTTACACACACTGGCCCCACTGCGCCACTACAAATATGAATGAATACAATGACACGAACAAATTCTTACTTTTTACACCAAATATTTTGAGTTTTTGTGCAGTTCATGGAGTGAATGATGAACACGATGTAAAAATGCAACTGTCATTTAACGTGAGCTATGCAGTGATTAAATAATTATTTTGTCATCAAAAGGCCTTTCTTAGCCTCGTTTTATTGTTTGAGGTGTCACAAAAGGAGCAACCCCCCCCCCCGCACCAAAAACAAAAACCCACGAGTGTCAAAGTCAATGTTCTGCTTAACATAATAGCTTTTGCGTTTGGTTCAACCGCTGATTGAAATAGAATGCAAAGTGGGTAAAATTAACTTTTGGGGGGGAGGGTTTGGTGGTTAAAGATCAGCCAAAATGCTCTAAAACAGCTGGCAATCTGGGGAACTGCTTTGAAAAGAGCTGGTAGTAAATGAGTTAACTCTATTAGGAATGTTTTTTAGTCAGATTTGAACAAGCCAGACACGTATATGCTTAACTTTGGTTGACTCTTGTCATACCAATGTAAACAAAAACACTGCCTTTGCTTTGATTTTATGACTACACGATAGGGCCTTTTAAGCTTTGAGGTGACAAACATTTTTTTGTGGTTGAATTCCCAACGTGTATTTTCAGAGACATTGGATTTTGAGGTTTTATTGTATTAAGGGGGGCAACACGTTTCCCTCACAGTTCTGAAGCTCGTAGTTGGAATCGCTTGACTGCAGCCTTCCTGTGTGGAGTTTGCGTGTTCTCCTCGGGCTTGCCTGGCTTTTCTTCGGGTACTCTGGCACAATCCAAAAACATGCATGTTAGGTTCACTCAACACGTTAACCTTTGGTGTAAATAGGTGTCAGTAACTAAATGGTCTCAGTCAGGCGATGCAGTAGTCAATGTTAATCATTGCATCATTATCATCATTTTTATTCATCATAGGAATAGGTAGCTATGACACGCTCCCCTTGAGCTGCGTGCCGACAGCGATGTTTAGCTAGGACGGTCAACGAATTCCTTATGTGTCGACGCCAAGAAAACAAAAAGGCCAAGGATGCCAGTATATACACAGTGGGGAACAACGCCATAAGGGAACTGTGAGTAAATCTTTCATCGGTAAAAATCTTTTTTTTTTTTTTTTTTTTTTTTTAATTGGACATGTATCGTTTGCACTCATTTTCAACGCCCATGCACAAGTCACCCCTGAGCAAAAAAAGGACTCATCAGTTTTATATCGAGCCTGATATTTTGGAGATTCCCAACATGGCTATCTACAATGGCGAGGTCATGATCAATTGGTAATGAGTGACTTATTTGATGAGTGTCTTTTACATAATGCAATTTTCTAACACTTCACAATGAAAATGGAACTGTTAATCAATGAAAGAGGTAGAAGTTACTATTGAACCATGAGTGCCCTGTTTCTCTGAATCTATCTGAGCGTGTTCCGACTCATTTTGCTAAGACGGGTCACATTTTAGCTCTAGTATCTGAAAACTCAGGGGCCCTATGTGTAATGAGTACATAGGCTACAGTACATAAGAGTCCAAGGAGAAATAAGAGATGAAGCACAAAAATGGTCTGGCAGATATACAAATTGGATTACGGATGCCACGCTGCCTCTTTGTCCGGAAAAAGATTGCTTTTTGAGTAGACCACAAGTTTTAAAATGTAACTGTGACAAGATAACTGAAGTGAAACTTTATCACACCAAAGGTTCCTTTCTCTTGCCGGACAGCCCGAAGCAGCAACTGACGGGGTGAGCGGGGTTCATCATCCATTTTTCAGAGACCATTTTGTCCTCTGCTTAGGGTGTTGTCACCTGTGTTTGCCTTAAAGTAACCGCCACACAATTACTACGGGCCCTACTCCACTTGGAAGTTATATGTTAATGTGGTATTAGTGTATTAGTACAGCAGAGCATTGTTTTAAATTGTTTTTAGTCAGAGTATAAGTACAGACATACAGTATCGGTGCTGATACTTTCCATCCCTTCTGTTGAACATGAAAGGATAGTACTATAGTTCACACTTGAGTGGAGGTGCACTGGTATTTGGAATATTTGATTAGATTATATCAGGCAGCAAAATCCTTTGTGGATATCTGTCCCCCATGCAAACCAAAAGGATCAAATTAAGTGTTTGGATAGCTGGGGTTCAGTCACTGAGGTCATTAGCAAGGACGCATTATGTAGTTAATGGCAACAGGCTGCAGTAATTAAGAGGCATCGAGTTGCTGCCTATTGAGGGCAAGCTTGTGGTGAAAGTCATTATCAAGGATAAATATATGGGCCTCCATGACATGGAGGGATTCAACCCGTTCACATTCCTGTCCTGATTCGAGGGAAGGTTAACGGGTACAGAACTTGAGTCCGTCTTTTTTCCCAAGCAACCATCAATCAATTTGTTTGGGTACAGTACATTTTTTTTTACTTCTAAAGGTGAGAGGACTGCTGGCACAAGACACACGACGGTCAATTGTTTGGGAAATAATCGCCACTTCTCATGACAATGAAAGTGGTGTGGGAGAGAAAATTTGAGAGAACACAAAATGGTGGTTGGTCTCCATTAGCCTACTGCCTCTGACTCACGGCCAAGACAATATTAGTTTGATCACGGTTGGTTTTGCAAAAATAACAACAACCACTGAAATCAACCATTGTAGAGGACCACCAAAAAGTTGAGCTTAGCGCAACGATGAACCAAATAACTCTCATAATTCAATTACAAAATAAGGTTGATGAAAATTGTTGCCTTGAAGCTTTAGAGAGATCACCCTTGTGAATCCGAATGAAATCCAGTCCGATTATGCTTGCATGTGTTTATATGTAACATTTTCATTCAACTGAGCATTCGATTTCATTCTTATTGGAATACAAGGCTCCATGTAAAATCAGCTATGGACTGGCTAATGGGCTACAGCCAACTCTACAATCGCATTTGCTGATGCCCATGTCACTTACCAGGCCGGGTCTCTGAAAGCCATACACATGCAAAGTCACAGATACTACAGTAGAACGCAAGGGCGGCGACCCCAAGTGGACAAAAACAATGCCTGCACCTCACATGCTCATGTTGTTTTGTTTATTAATGCAAAATAAATTTTCAGATTTCTCGATTAATAGATAATCAATGCAATACACCAAAAGAATATTTGATCGTGCAGCCCGATGTTAAACTATGATATTGTATCAGTTTTCATAAGATTTCGTTTAAATCCTACTTTTTACGGAGTAATTGTGAAAACTGAAGTTCAACCGATGACTGCTCTGCTTTGCAAACAACTTCTGATTTTTTTCATGTCTAACAGGAGTAATTATTCTTTATTTTAGCTTTGTTGTAAAGTACATTTGGAACAAATTCCACCACTTTTCAAAGTTCACACTCTACCTGCAAAATAACTGTAGTGTGTCAGTGAACAATGGCCTATAAATAGTACTGCTCTGGGTGACAGATATAACGGTTGGAGAGGCCAAGGGTGTTGACCTTCTTCGAAACCAGACACTAACATGTGCAAGTGTTGCTCCACTTAAGCCTTCATAGTTTGCTTGCTGTAAAACTAAACTAATGAGATGGGCACGTGTGGATTAGTTGGATGTGCAGCTGATCGGATCGTATACATCTCATGTTCTCACCCTGTGTTCGCCCCTCAATGCCGGAGGCTCTGCTGCATCATGGTCGCGGCTTGTTCCGTCCATGATGCTGGGCATGAAGCGTCCGCCAAATGGCTCAGAGAAGCTCCGCATCATCTGGCGCATGTGATCCCGGTGTGCTCGGAATGGATCTCTACACAGGAGACGATTAAGAATGTTGCTTAATACATTGCCTGTATGGTTAAAAAGGTGTTGTTTCTCAGGTTATTCTGGGTTTTTTTCCCCATTACTTCCTGTGAGAGTTTGGAGCATCCACTGTAATTCCTGACATTCCTTTAAAATAGGGGTGTCTAAACGTCGTCCAAAGGCGGCATACAGAAAAATGGAGGGCTGAGATGCTTTATATTTAATTGATAAAACCCACTAATACTTAGCCCTCAAACAATTGGGTTGTTCATAGATTAAATTTTGAAATCTGCATCACACCTTGCTATTAAATGTGACAAGACAAATTGTCAACCCAGTCATTTTTTTTATTTCTGAACATAATGCACAATTTGAGCATTAACACTTCACCTGTACATAAATAAATGTTTGAAAAGAAAAATTAAAAGAAAATGTATTGTAATAAGACAAATACAACTGAATTGTACTTAATAAATGGACTGCACTTTTGAAACTTTAATTCAGTGATAGCATAACACCACAGGGAGTACAAGTGGATTTGGCCCTGTATTCCACGAGAAAGATAAGCCCTGCACTGAGCACTAGCACATTTCTACATTTAGAACAGAAATAAGAGTAACTGTCAATCTTTAAAGTAGTATTTGAGGATCATTAACGTAATCTAATTACAAAATTGGAACTTGACACGAAGCAGAAAGCGATTTTTTTTCTCTCTCGCACACACACACACACACACACACACACACACACACACACACACACACACACACACACACACTTAAAAGAAAATTCATGTTAGTTCAGTGATAAAACCTTTACAAACATTTCAAGTTAAATAAAGAAATTAAAATACATTTCTCACACACACACGCAAATAATTAAATACAGATGCATGTGCCATTTTTACGGGTGGTTGTCCCGGTATCTATCGAAAAAAAAATCTTCCAACATTCTATTTTAAAATTATTTTACATCTGACCCCGTTCCACGAGTGCTAAACAAGCTAGCTTAACATTTTGAAACCAACAACTTACGAGAAGAAAGGGTCCTCATCAAAGTCCCCAAAATTGCCGCTTCTGAACATCTCGATGAAAATGCCGTGAACGAAAAGAAAATAAGGAAATGATAAAACAAACGGTTTAAATCACCATAATAGTCCGTGTGCGCCACAGGTGCGGCGGGCTCAATTGTAAATACAGTACTGTACCATAGAGGCGGGGTTAGATGATTTCGGACACGGGGACATTCAACCATGTGACGTGATCCCGTCCTCTGATTGGCCGATTAAGACTACTTGCGTCCACGAGGTTGTTGTGTCGCTGAGGGTTGCTATGACGACGGTGCTCTCGAAGCTTCTTGTAAAAAGTCCAAAATTTCACACTCTTTTATACTCGTCAACGCTAAGTAACTGTTACAGAGTAACTTACATACCTTCTTACAAAATGGCATTTACCATTCACAGTATCGGGACAGCGTGTTAGGATCAAATAACGTGAAGAACCAATGTTATCGCTGTGGTTAAGGAGTGGTCGATCTTACTTTCGAACATGCTTGTATGTAGGACTTCATTACCACACTGGCTATTTGGAGGCGATGTCGGAGTGACAAAGTGTCCCACACCGGGTATAGATTTACCATCTGCAACGCTCCATAAATAGGCACGGCTCTGGTTCTTTACACTGCTTTATATTGTCCCTGATAATTAAAATCCAGACGTGAATGAACCCGTTATTCAACAGCATCAAGCACAGCCAACAAGGTCACAGAGTTAAAAAGGAAAAGAGATAACTTTAAAGCAGCTCTTTTATTAATTAAGTTGTTGACCTAGGACAATCCGTGGATTCACTGGATATAAAAAGGCCACACATCCCTGGTTCAAAAGCCACTTTCTCCGGTTATATAAGAAAAAGAGACACATATAAATCATTAAACAGACTTTTGCCACTCTGAAAGGTTATCTGCAGGGAGCTTCCACATCATCAGTGGGGTCTCACTCAAAGGTATCAGTCAGGGAAGGGGTGCAGTAGACTTTAAATGGCATGAATAAAACGTGGAACGCAGCAAAGACAGCAGTCATCAAGTGGAGAAATTACCAAGAACTGGATATCCCTCCAGAATTGCTGAAAAGACCAGAAAGCTGTCCGGGGAGGCTAATGAAGACGACAACATTGGATGAGCTACAGAAATTTCTGGCAATACGTGACAACAATCCCCCCATCTCATTCGTGGAAGCAAGATGGAGTTTGCAAGGAAAAAACAAACAAACAAAAAAAGGTATTTGAAAAAGCCAAAAGTGTCAGGTGGGAAAATGTGTTTTGGTCTGATGAAATCCATGATTCCAAAAGTTATGTTTGGTGCAGACACTACTCATCACCAAAAGTGAAGCAGGGTGGTGGAAGCATCATGATTTGGGGCAGGAAAAAGACTGCTAGAACATCGAAACATTATTTGGAGTTAATCAGGAGGACTTGGTGGTCCGCTAACTACCATTTAACAGTTTGAATGAGTTTGAATGTGAAATGTGAACATCCCCAGTTATAAGAGCGTGTGCACACTTGTTTATTTTTACTTCACCTCTCTATTAGTTATACTGCATTACAAAAATGTAGCATTTGAACAGGAGTGTGTAGACTTTTTTTTTATTTCCACTGTACTAAGATGTTAAAGTCAAAGCTGTCATTTTAACTGGGAGGGTTTTCTTTAACTGACAAGCGCATACTAACACAGCAGGTAAACCAGATTCACATCATGGTTTCAATATGTTTAAATTCCCAAGTGAACAGACAGACTAAAATGAAGCAACAATTAGAATCGTGATGAATGTCCCCAAACAAAGGTATCCTGAGAAGAGGACGGATCTCCTGGCGTTCCTTGGTTAGGACACAGGACTTCCCATTAGCCTCTCCTGGCGCAGTGAAATCAGCCTGTTGAGCCACATCTCCTCAGCCTTCTCTTTGTCCATGAACAGCTGTGAAGGACAGAAGGCACAGAGGGCACATTTTGATTCTTCGCGGTGCCATGTATGGTGACGATGACACTTGTGACATTTTTTTTTCAGTTCTCCTTTCTCTCGCTGTGATTATGGACACTCATCTGTCATTTTTTTCGACCAACCCGACCAGTCAAAGCAGACAGCCGCACATACTGAGTGTGTCTGAGGTTTTTCTTTGAGGGAGTGTTGCTTGATTCTTGTTCGTGGGCTTCAATTCGGTTAAATGTGAGGAGCATGGTTCTGAGAGGAACTCAATACTATAAATACAATACAAATATCAGTGATGTCATCGGTTATTCGACTCGCAATGGACTTGACTTTCATCTCATTATAGTTGAATGCCGAATGGACAGATACCTTTTATAATACTCTGTGGGAAATTAAATACAGAAACAGAAATTAGGTCGTTTTTTTTCCCCCAAAAAAACTGCAGCCCTTGTGATTTCAAAATGGAATTCTACTACATTGTGATTTCAATTTGAAGTCGATTGTTTTACTGCTCTGCTCTAATAAGAACACACTGCTGCACACTGATGAAGTGCTTATTAGGAAGTAAAACCATGAAACTGAAGGATTGTGTGGTGATATTTTGTTGTGTTATCGCACTTGCGTGTGCGTGTGTTTGTGTGTGTGTGTGTGTGTGTGTGTGTGTGTGTGTGTGTGTGTGTGTGTGTGTGTGATCATGCATATCAGAGAGCAACATGTCACTCCTTCACTCCCAATCTGACGATGCTTTTTTTGACTGTAATTTTGTTCGACACCGATGAGCACTTGTCAGTCGGCCCTGGGCTAGTGTCGGAGTGCAAAGTGTGTGTGTGTGTGTGTGTGTGTGTGTGTGTGTGTGTGTGTGTGTGTGTGTGTGGTGATACGATGTGGGTAGGACTAATGTGACTCATCTGTTCTAATTGGGATCGGAGCTGAGGCCAGGGCCCGCCTGGGGCATATTGGTACCATACATCAGCCTGTCGCAGGGCCGTGATGTGTCTATATATGCTGTGTGCGTATATGTGTGAGGGGGTTATCTGCATACGTCAGGTCATAACTCAGTTTGCCCACTGGAGATAGATGAGTGGGAAGCCCTGGGGAGCATTAGTGCAGTTGAAAGTTTTCCTTCTCGTTTTTCATCATTGCTCTGCAGAGGAGGAGGTGATTGGGGAAGGATATGCGGCATGCGCGCGCACACAGACGTGGTAAGGATCTTGCTATGCGATGCAAGGTGACACTGCACAGGTGGCAGTGTTCATGCTACTTGCAGTATTTTACTGGCAATGAAGCGTGTGGACAAAGGAGTTCGGAGCGCCAGATTGGGACGGAATGTGTCGTGAGGGGCTGTCATGGTGACCACTCACAGCGGGATGAGCCAAAGTGTCGCTGTCGTTGTAAACAATGGACAGGGGAAAACTGAGGTCGGCGTCATCCATCCTGTCCGACTCATGCTTCACCACAGGGTCAGTCTGACATGAAAAACAGAAATAGTTGAAGTGGAAAAAATAAAAAAATAAATCAAAAACACTTTGCAATAATACTGAGCATAAAAATGATTGGAATGAATATGCATGTTCTCATTCTAATTCAATGAAATTATGACATGGGTTGGAAACTGTAGGGAGCTAGAAATTCCGAACTTGATTTAGCACAGCCTTGAAGAGGATAACCGATAAACCGTAATGCTGCATTGTTTGTGAAGACATCGGGAAAGAGGGTGGCAGGAGCACAGTGGATGATGATAAGAGAATATTACACCAACACGCAATAACTATGTGCGTGGAACCTTTCACAACCCGTCAACATCTTTAATTGTAGCATTGTTTCATCTACTTTTTGCGTTTCTAGTGGTGGCTTCGCCTCTTTAGTTGTGATGTTTGCGACTCACATTCCTTCAATGGTGGTTTTGCATTTGGTGGGAATTTTGAGGTTTTGAAGTTTGTCTGTAAGTTAGACAAGATACTTGCTGTGAACCTGCGTGGACTAGTGTGAACTGTGTAGTACTGTATTTGCTTGATCAGATTATGTCTTTTTTAAATGCATTTCAGTTTTCCTGATTTTCTTTAAAAAATATATTTTTTTTTTTGGTTTTTTTTTTGCGGGGGGGCAGGGGTTTGTCAAGCATCTGACTCACATCGAAACAAAAATACTATGGAGTAAACAACCTGGATGGTTTCAATGACATGCCAACATTTTTCCACCAGGTGGCAGTGGAAGGCTGTTCCATGTATGAGGCTGTTTGAACAACTTGGAAAAATATCACAGATATGGCCACAATAACAGGTCCACACACGCAGCACCTTCATCAAAAAAGTTTACGCTTGAATACAAAACAATATAATAATATTAATATTATTAATATTCCCATAAATCTCATGGAAAGTTTCCAAAATTAGCTTAACTTTCCAAGGAAATGTGCTGGATACTTTCTGGAAATTTCCCATCCTTTGTAACCTAAATCACAAAAAAATTCCCAAGTAAATTGAATGTACAGTAAACGATACCAACGCTGTCGGGCAGAAACCTTTGAACAAGGTCGTTGGGTCAATTTCATGTTTTTTTTCCACTGATTGTTGTCATCTTCTTGGTGGTCTGTTATTACTGTTATTATTTTCATACATTGTTAACTTATAAAAAGTGTCCACAAATTATTGGACACTTAAACACTTCCCCTTCCACGGGAGCTTCACATTATGTCTGCGCAAGATTGAAAGCCACAGGAGAAGTCTTCAACGAATAACAATGATTGCAACTAGCTGGGTTAGAGCCATTTGAGAAGGCCTGTTTTGCTGAAACTCGATAGCTGCTTCAATGCAAAAGGAAGTTAATGAGTGAAGGTTTATTTATGTGGACATTAATATTCCCCTATCACAGCCTATCCAGCGCATTGTATTTGTTTTTTTGTACTACATACTGTAGTTCTTAAACCTTTAAACTAGAGTTGAGGATGATGTATGTACTAACACGATTACAGATTTTGAAGGCGTACTCATCACACAAACACGATTTTGGGAAAATGTTGGTTGCAAAATGAAGTATAAAAGCAACTAGAATTATTTTAATGTTTACAAACAAAAAGAATGTGCAGTTTTAATTTGTTTTTTTTTTTTTTTAATTTGACAAGGTCCTGCCTGAGGTGGGAGTCACGATTGTTGTGGGTCTCGACCTTGGCCAGCGTCCTCCAAAGTGGACACAAAGTCTATGTCACATGGTGTTGCCCATCTTCTCAAAAGATCACCAACAAATCAAATCGGGGGAACATTTCAATAACGACTTATGTGTTTGGTTTCCATCTGAGAGGGTGACAGATGTAGGACATACCATTTTGTCTGAATGGGAACGTTTGATTTGTCAAAGGAGAATTGAATGAGGGAGCAAAAACTGCACCTTGACGTCGTCCCGGGATGATTTGAAAGCCTGTGGAACAAAGGAGTCGCTCTCGATGGCCTCGATGTCCTTTATCCTTCGCACTTGGTCCTCGAGTGAAGTTCCCTCTAGGAGAAAAAAAAAAAAAAGCAGGGGAGGAGGTGTGTGAAGAAAAAGCACCTGCACGGGGTCACCGGCCCCTCACCATGTTCCAAACGGTGGCGGCAGATTCCGTTCGGAGCGAGACCACTTGATTACATATGATCTGTCTGCATAACGCTCCCTGACGTGTAATGTGACATATGGGATGTTATTTTAATCTTTAAGGGAGAGCGCTGATGCGCCACCAAGGGCATGGCAGCAGCCCCTCGAAGACGGTAAATAAATGCTAACAAGATGAGAGTAAATTACACCGGGAATAATGCATTGTAAAATAATCACAAATATGAACACAAACTGGCTGCAGTGGAATTTCATTAGGAAGACAAAATGGGATTAGGTTTCATAGCGTTTTCGTGGATCACAGACTATTGTTGCTGCGGTTAGTCCAATCATGCATAAAGACAGGGAAGGTCTTTCAGTAAATGACTCCTGCATATAAACACGTCCGGACTGTGCATATCATACAGTACATTGTTGAAAAAGCGCAGCTTTTACAAGCGTAGGAGGAATTACCAAAAAGGAAAGTTTGCAATTGGAAAGAAGAAAAAAAATATATGAACAGCACCGTTATTGTGGTACTGTCAATCTTGAAACCAGTCAGTCAATATACATCCCTCGTTTCCGCATCCATCCGTCCTCCCCTGCATTCGCCCATCTCTCCATCTGTCAATCTCGCATGTGTGCAACTATTTGGGCGGTGTCATCAAAATAAGCACTCAATTGTTGGGCAAGCAACGTGAAAGTACGCCCACACTCTCAAGAGAGGGGGGCATTTAGTATCATTCTGATACTTCAAATATATAAACGCTGGAAAACTTGAAATGTTCCCATAAATGTGGGGAAACACAATCAAGTTGGTCACAAACTTACATGCCTATCTTGTACACCACATAACATTTCTGAAAATCTTTCTATCAGTGCATTAAAGGTGACATTGACATAGCAGTATTTTGAGTAATAAGTGATGGAAAAGTGACTTCTCAATTGTATGTGTAGATTAAAAAAAATTATATATATACACACACACACACACACACACACACACACACACACACACACACACACACACACATTTGGCCTGCGCGGCCATCAAGTATAAAATTAAACAAAAAAATTCTTAGTAATCTGCCCATTTCAGAAAATGTGTCAAGACACAGTGACAGTTACCATTCGCTGGTAACAGTTGGCAAGGTGCAAAATATGCACACTTAGCTAATGGAAATCTGCCTACGAATCCCACAAGTGTTTGCCACTTGGTAGCTAGCTTCCCGCAGTAAAACATCCCTGCGTGGGTGTAATCCGCTCACATTAGCTGCTAGCTTTTGACGTTAATGTATGCTTGTTCCGTCGTTTGAATGTAATATTACAGGAAGGTGCTTTGGTTAAACACTGATATGACCGCTAAGAATATTAATAGTTACTTAACACATTTACAGTAAGTATTATGATGGTTACAGTTTGACTCAGGAACTCCGACCATTATTTCCTATGGGGGCTTTGTCATAGATTGTGAAGAGATTGTGTTCAACTTGAGAGGTCATACTTGTACATATTGTAGCTCACTCACATACGCATGCCATACTAGCATCCACAGACACACACGCACGCACACACACACACAAAGAGCTAAATAGCAGGAATTAATTCAATCCATTATCTGTAACAGGATGGGTGTCGCAGTATATCATCATAATGCCAGGGTGTTTAATGAATACATGAATATTTGTCTGAGTTTTTCACTGACTCGCTCACATACACACACACACACACACACACACACATCATAACACGGTCCGTAATGGCGCTCAAACAAAACGGGTTTGATTTGAAGCTGTGCGGACAAGTGAGTGACGATTCAGCTTGCCATGAGAGTCATTCCGGCAACTGGACTGCTTGATGAAGTCACGACACCACCACCGATTCAACATGGATGTACAGTACATGAAGACTATTCATTTCCTTTTCATGTCATCCTTCCCTTGTATTATAAAAGGGTGACCAAACTATCCATCCATTTTTAATACCACTTGTCCTCATTTGGGTTGCTGGTGAGCTGGAGCCTATCCCAGCTGACTTTGGGTGAGAGGCAGGGTCCCCCTTCTGAGCTGCTTGCTCGCCAATCGCAGGGCACATAAAAAAACACTCACATTCACACCGATGGACAATTTGAAGCCTTCAATTAACCTGAAGTGCATATTTTGGGAATGTGGGAGTCCAAAATCCCATGCAGCTTCGGCTGAAATTTGAATCCAGGACCTCTCAACTGCAAGGCTGATGCCCTAACCACTAGCTCACCGCGTGGCCTCAACGCAATATCAATGTCAAACCCATAGACACACGCTCATTCACTTGGCAGAAATTACATCCATTAGGACCTCCGATTTTTTTTTGGGGGGGGGGGGGCAAACACATTATGGGTAGATAAGATGTCTCTCACATGCTGTTTGTCAGATGTCAGGAGCCCAGATATGTATTTCATGAACAAAATCACACACAATGGACTTGAGAGCGCAGGCCGGTGAGCTCGGAGGCGGACTGGAAAAATCAATAGCAGGGGGGGTGAGTGCACTCGGAGGCTCAGAGAGGTCAAAGTTGATATTTAATATTGACACATTATATGACAAATGATTTTAACTGTCGGCGCATTAGGCTATTCTGTGTGACAGTGAGGAGAGGAAAGTGAGAGGGAGAGAGAGATTTTCTCTGTCTCGCTGTTCAAGACATTACAGTGGGTAGAAATACAGGAAAGGGGATTCGATACACTAAACAACAGTACTACCTTGACATGTGAATTCCCCTGCTGCAGTAAATATTTTCTATATTACCCTAATAAACACTGGAAAACATCTGGCACAAAGAAGGCCAGATTGTGTGACTATGTGAGTAGTACTAGTTGTGTTTCATTTGTGACTGACAGTCAGCAGGAGCGCTGCACTCTAATAGCGGCGCCCATGTTGCTTTTGCTTATGACAGTTTCAAACTAGGATTAAACGCAGCATAAAAACAGGGGAACCAGAAACAACAGCTGAGTGTATCATCGCTACATCCCCCTATATTCAGTCTTATGTGTTGTCAACTCATCACTGCATGGATCCAGCGGTTTGGGGTCAGTAAACAACCAAAACGCTAACCGCTATGTCGGCTCAGCACGCTGAAGATAGAAATAAACGGCGCTTGTATGATTATAAAGCGTCACTTGTACACAGGAAATAAAGGTTTCATGATGGCCACTTTGGAACGAATTAACCATCCATCCATTTTGTACAGCACTTGTTTTGTCTTTGCGGCGAGCTGGAGCCTAATCAGTAAATCACTCCAAATGTAATTGATAACAATGGGAAATTGCAATCCAAAAGTTCAACCAGTGGTAGAAAAAGTGAAGGGTGTGAGAATGTGCTCTTCCATTTGCCTCCAAATAAAAGTGGGAATCATTAGTGAGATGAGTCGGACAGACAGCCTCGTTGACAAGTGGATCAATATGCTATTGTTCGCTCTAAATAGCTGTTTGTCCACCTCATTGATTAGGAGTGCAAGAGCAGCCGAGAAAATCAAACAAGCCAATGGGCGGCTTGATTTGGAACCTTCAAAGCCTTGGAAAGAACCAGTTGACAGTGTGTCGCCGCAAGAGGGCGCTGTTCAATAGCACATGTCAGATGCTCAGAGGGCCTGCAGAACACTTGACTTTTCGAAGCACGAGCGACTTAATTTACCATTAGTGCTGATTCCCCCCAAATAATTCAATTACTGCAGTACTTGTTGTGCTTGAGTGGAGCTGAAAAAATAACCGCATGCTTTATTGCAGGCCCAAAAACTGCAATAAATCTTGATTTGATATTGTATTCATTTAAGAGGCAGAGTTTCAAATTCACTGCATGAGATTGGAGTATATATTCAATTACATCAGATCTAATGACACCTAAAACAAGAGCTGCATCAACAATTCAAAGTGGTCAGAGAGAGAATAAAATTTGTTTTGGGGGGGACGGATATATTTAGAACATCTATGAAAATAAGAGTACAATATACCATAAAACAGTAAAAAAAAAAAAAAAAAAAAAAACCCAGCAAGATTAAGCCCATCAACAGATAAAAAAGAAAGAAGTACAAAAGAGCAAAGCAGAAATATTCAATGTATATACAACGTGCTATGTATTAATTTACTGGCTTACCCGTGTTTGAAAAGGAGTAGCAGGCCTAAATAAAAATCTATTCCTACACCAGCAGATTCATTTTTGTGATTAAAATAACAGTATTTAGGAATATTTAGGACAGTTAATGACAGGGTGGACAGAAACGTCAGGGATATATGCAACATGTTTCATATAATATGATTAAGTCGTTTTATCAAATAATCTGTTTTATCATTTAAACCCATATTACCAACAACTTTAGTGAGCAAAGGATTGTGTGGGGCAGGCCTAAACCACATTCATCTCATGAAATTCAAAAACAAAAATAATTCATATAACATGAAGGAAACATTTTAAAGATACTTCTCTTCCTGGCAAATGTTTGAACACATTGTATTTTGAAACAAATAGCTGACATTTTAAAGGCAGGAGTGTTGTACTGGATCTCATTACATTGTACATTTTAATTTGATGACTGCCAGTTACTTGGCAGTGATAACAATGTCTTGACATAAATGCTGATTTTGACTTAACCCACACCCAGGCATAGAAACACATGCTCACGGAGCAAAATCCAAGGGTTCAATTAAGTGCCTCCCTGTGCAGCTGTAAAGATGTAATTCACCACTCAATTTAGGTCCGTCTCAGTAGAGATTTTTTTGGAGGGGCGGGGGGAGTGCTAATTGATAGAAATTAAACCATTAATCAAGCCACTAGCCATCACTCAGCCGAAGGAAGATGAATACAAACTTTCATAATAGGCACATTTCCTATTTTAGCCCTCATTAGCATTAATTTTTAATGTAATTATGCTATTCTTTTCCAGCGAGCTCATA